GATGATGAGTGGTGGTGAAGATGAGTGGTGGCGATGATGATGTTTGAATGAGGATGATGCCGATGCCGATGATGATGATGATGATGATGATGATGATGATGATGATGATGTTCGTGAGCTTGTGAGAGAGTGCGAGTGATGATGATGATGATGATGATGATGATGAGTATGTGAGTGACTAAGCATGTGAGAGAGCATCATCGATGATGCTGATGAGGTTGATGATGAGAGAGTGCGAATGAGTGTGAGTGGGTGTGTGTGTGTGTGTGTGTGTGTTCCTGTTCCTGCGCGGGGTGTCCAGAGAAAACAAGAACCCCACTTTGGATGTGGGGAAATAAATACGCATAGTCAAACAGCGAGGGAGCGGGCCTGGCCGGCGTTTTCGTGCCATCTCCGGGGCCGCGTGGGTGTGGGGGGGGGGATGGGGCGACGAGGAGGAGGAACAGGAGGAGAGAATGATGAGGGCAGAGGCAAGAGGAGCAAGACGAGGAGAAGGAGGACGAGGATGAGGAGGACGAGGACTAAGAGAGTGAGGAGGAGGAGGAGGAGGAGGAGGAGGGAGGAGGAGGAGGAGGAGGAGGAGGAGGAGGAGGAGGAGGAGGAGGAGGAGGAGGCGAGGAGGAGCAAGAGGACGAGGGGGAGGATGATAACGAGGGGGAGGAGGGGGAGGAGGAGGAGGCGGAGGAGGAGGAACATAACAAGGACGAGGACGAAGGGCATGGACCAGAACGAGAGGACGAGGAGGAGGATGAGGAGGAGGAGGAGGAGGAGGAGGAGGAGGAGGAGGATGAGGAGAAACAGGAGGAAGTGGAGGAGGAGGATGAGGACGAGGAGGACGAGGAGGCGGACGAGGACGAGACGGCGTCTTGCGTGCCTCGGGTGGTCTTCTTGGGCCTCTTGGGGGGCCGCTCAGGAGGCCTCTTGGGTGCCTCTCGGGTGCCTCTTGGAGGCCAATTGGGGCCTCTTGGGGTGCTCTTGGAGCTCTCTTGGGGGCCTCTTGGCAGCCTTGGAGGGCCTCTTGGTGCCATCTTGAAGGCGGTCGGTCAAAAGAGGGGAGGTCCTAAATGGTCTGCCCCCTCTCGGGTGGCACGGTCCTCGTGAGGGGTGTCAAGTATTGGCCTTACCATTGGCCGAAAGAGGCCCTTCTGACACATGGGAGGGGAGGGGAAGGGTTCCCCTCCGAAGGAAAGAGGGGTTGTGGAAGAAAATTGAGATCACCCGTAGACCACCTGTCGCCCAAAGTGTTGGTGGACTACTACTATTACTGCTACTACTACTACTACTACTACTACTACTACTACTACTACTACGATCACGGCTACTACTACTACTACTACTACTACTACTACCTTTACTACTGCTAGTACTATCACTACTACTACTACTACTACTACTTCTACTACTACTACTACTACTACTACTACTACTACTACGACTACGACTACGACTACTACGACTACTACGACTACTAGTGTTAGTACTACTGCTACTGCTACTACTTCTACTACTACTACCAGTACGACTACTGCTACTACTACGACTGCTACTTCTAATGCCACAACTACTACTACTACTACTACTACTACTACCACTATGTCTACTACTACCACTACTACTACTACTACTACTACTACGACTACTACGTCTACTACTACGACGCATATTACGACTACTACCACTACTGCTGTTGCTGCTGCTGCTGCTACTACTACTACTACTACTAATACTACTACTACTACTACGACTACTATTACTACTACTACTACTACTACTACTACAACTACTACCACTACTACTACTACTACTACTACCACTACTGCTGCTGCTGCTGCTACTACTACTACTACTACTACTACTATGACTACTACTTCTTCAACTACAACTACACATACAACACCAACAACACCAACAATTATTACTACTACTACTGCTACTACTACTACTACTACTACTACTACTAGAGTCGGGCGCGCATAAGGAAACCAGTTGCTTTTGTCAGGGTATCCTGGGTTTCCTCTCGCTCCGCGCGCACCGCGGTAACTTCCCGCAGTCGTTGAAGAAACTGCTGCGTTCAGGGTGATCTGGTTTTTCCATCAGGTGCACCTTGTGCCCAGATGTTCAAGGTCGTGTTTCTTGCGATGGTTTCTTGCGGCCGCGCCCGCACTGTACTAGTACGAGTACGAGTATTAGTACCAGATAATAGTAGTTGTAGTAGTGCTACTACGACTACACATATTACTTTTAGTATTCTTAGTGCGATTACCACTGCTAGTACGACCAGTACTACTATCCCGATTACTGCTACTATGACTTCTGCTGCTACTTCTACTACCACTACCTACTACTACGACTATTTCTGCTGCTGCTGCTTCTGTTACTACTACTACTACTACTACTACTACTACTACCACTACTACTACTACTACTACTACTACTACTACTACTACTACGACTACTACTAGTATTAGTACTAGTACTAGTACGAGTCGTACTACTACTACTACGACCACGACCACTGTTACGACCACTACGACTACGACTACGATTACGACTACGATTGGTACCACCACGACTTTTCTTAGCACAACTACTAGTTGTACTACGACTGCGACTACTACTACGACTACAACTACTACCCTTACTTCTACTACTACGACTACTACGACTACGACTGCGACTACAACTACTATCTCTATTTCTATTACTGATGCTGCTGCGCGAGAGGCCTTCTTGTTCCAGCTCGCGGGGGCCAGGGTTCTGGGCGCGGCGCCAACACTTTAATTGGCCCGCTGAGACCCCCCTCCTTTATATTGTCCCCGACTATTGCAATGGCTGTCTTTGCGATTTCAGCGGCCCCTCCGCTATTGCAGCTGCCCCCTCTGCCATAGCAGTGGCTTCCTCTGGCTGTCCTATTGGCGCCCCGACTATCGCGGGGCATATCGCCAATTAAGGGGTACAATAGGGCAGAGCAGAGGCAGCTTCCTCTTCTTCCTCCTCTACCTTCTTTTCTTCCTCTTCTCCCATACTCATCCCCCTGCTCCCCTTTCCCCCCCCACCCTCCTTCCCCCCCTCGCTCGCTCGCTCGCCGACGTGAGGGCTAATAGGTTCCAAGCCACGAGAGAAAACAGAAAAACGAAGACAGTACAATCCCCGAGACCTAGCGAGCACTGCAGCATGGGAGGAAGAAGGGGGCGACACAAACAGGCCCACGCTGCCCAGGCCGACCTCCCGGTTAGACTCGGCACTCGCCAGCGCTTCTCCTAAGAGCCCGTGCCGTTTTTTTTCTGGGCGCGGCCCTCGTGCAGTGGAGCCGGGGAGGAGTGGGAACTACCACGCAGAGTGTTTCCGCTCTTCCGATTCGGTGCGATTTCGATCGCTGCCGATTCCGATGTGATTCGGTCTTGGATTTCGATTTGGATTCCGGGTTTTTGAAGGACTGCCTTAACTACTCGATTGTGGATTTCCGTCCCGACTCGGCTGCCGATTTCTTCCGATCCGATTCATTTGATCGCCGTTCCGGGTAACCGATTCGATTCTGGGCTCGCCTGTCTTGGTATTCGCGGGCCTAGTATTATTATTATTATTCTTATTATTATTAGTATTATTATTATTATTATTATTATTATTATTGTTGTCATTATTATCATTTTTATCATTATTAGTATTATTATTTTCATTATTATTATTATTCCTATTCCTCTTCCTTCCGCCCCGTCCTTCTTTGTGGACAAGATTCCCGCCATTTCGAAGGCTGCGTTGGTCAACGATCAAAAGGGAAGCACCCCAAGACGGGGGCCCGCTTGTCAGGTTGATGACAATTCAGGGAGCCAGTTGACTCCTTTCTCTTCATCGATAGGGTTCGTGGGTGACTTAACTGTGTTCTGATGGTCAGAGTATCTAGAAGCCCCACCCTTCCTCCCCCCTGCTGCACGCGACCTGGGCGCCCGTGGCGCGTGTCCAGTCTTGGCGGCCACCGGGGCCAGGCGTGTAAAGATGTCGGTTTTGGGGCGCAGGTCCCCACATTCACCACCCAGCAAATGGAGAGCGCCCGCCCGCTCAAGCTCCGTCTCCCACTGTCGGGCACGCATCTCCTGGCCTGCACAAGTCGCCCCCAGGCCGCCCTCGCACCGTCTCCGGGCCCAGGCCTGACCCGCGCCACCCCGCCCCCTCCCCTCCCCCCCCCTTGGCCGCACGCACGCCGAGACATTTCATATTGTATGATCCGTGGCGGGCGCTTTCTGGCCGCTGCTCGGGAAACGGCGTGCTGCAAGCTGGCTGTGCTATCTCACGGCCCTGGGCCCGCCTGCCACCGTGCCTGGGCTGTGGGCCAGAGCTCTCGGGCCGTCATGGGGCCCCCGTGGCCCCGAAAACGTCCAGCGACGAGCCGCGCCACACCCCGGGAGGTTTGGCAAGTCGGGGTATGGGCTCCTCAAAGACTCCTCGGGACCAGGAGTGGGGACTGATATGGACGCGCGCTTCCAAGGAGGACGCAGTAGTCGCACATTCACCCATGGTAGTAAGGATGGGCAACCTTCCCAAGGGTGCCCTTGCATCCTTGCCTCCTCGCTCCAACCTTCGCCGCTTCCGCTGGCCGCGCCCCGCTCGAAAAGCTCCGAAATGGGCGTCCAAGGCCCTTTGCATCCTCATCGCGCATCCTTACTATACTGGTTGACCGTATGTCCTTGTGCGTCCCACCACCCCTCCTCTCTCCCCCCTCCTGTCCCCGCCCTCCCCCAGCTCCCCTGGCCCCCCCAGAGGTTTGGCAAGTCGGGGTATGGGTTCCTCAAAGACACTTCAGGAGTGAGGGCTGATGTGGACGCACGCGTCCCAGGAGGACACAGCACTCGTATGTCCTTGTGCGTCCCACCACCCCTCCGCCTCCTCTTCCTCCTCCTCCTCCTCCTCCTCCTCCTCCTCCTCCTCCTCCTCCTCCTCCTCCCCCAACCCCTCCCCGCCCCCGCCCTCCCCCCCAGCGCCCCCAGCCCCCCCGCCCCCGCCAGGGCGTCCAGGTGGGACCGGGCGAGGCCGACGGGGCGCCCTGCGAGGCGCCGGCCGCCGGGGAAGGAGGGATGGGGATGGGGGCGGCTTTGCGCTTCGGCCTCCTCCGCTTCGGTTCGAGTCGGCGCCGAGGGATACCAAGTCTGATTCGATTCGGCTCCGGATTCCGATTCGGCTTCCGGTTTCTCTCTAGGGAGGAGGCCGCTGAGCCTGCCGATTTCTGTCGATTCGACCCCTCCCGACTCGGCTGCCGAAGTTCCGCCAATCCGATCCGTTTCGGTTCCCGATCCGACTTCTCGATCCAGTCCTGGTGCTCTCCTGGGGGCGGGTCTTGGCATCGCTCGGACGTGTGCGTTTTTTGCTCCTCGGCGGGGAGCATCGAGTTCGGCAGCACTCGATGGGAGCCTGGTATACCGTCTCAATTCCGTCTTCAGCGTCGAGTGTCGTCTGGTAATACATGAGAATATTGGCGTAGGTTAGTGTCGATGTAGCGTCGGCCACCGTTGGTTAGCGTCGATTGCCGTCGGCCAGCAGGATTGTAGCGGAGACTCCCATGAGTTGCCACCGAAATTGAGGAGTATCTTGGATCATCCTGCGAACAAACCAGCAAACCCTTCCCGAAACCGAAAATCGACGGGGAATGGACGTCCGAGCGGTGGCGAGGGGTGGAGGAGGCCGAGGTTCGGCGGCGAACCCGGGTCCAGGGCTCATTTCGACTCCTCCGATCCAACCCGATTCGATCTCGGCGACTTCCGTCTCCGATCCGATTCCACTTCGGATTCCGATGCGGATTCCAAAATCTCAACGTCTCTCTCCTGGGGAGGGGAGGAGGAGGCCGAGGTTCGGCGGCGAGCCCCAAGGGGAAAGTCAGAGGTTGGAGCCAGATGGGGGTCGGGGGTGGCCCAACTCTACTTCTGGACACCCGGAAGGGGGGGGGGAGGGCAGGTTCGATGTTCTGGGCTCTGGGAGGTTTCGCACCTTTTCGACCTCCGGATCGGGCGTACAAAAATGCACCAGGTGGACACTGGGAGGGGTCTGGGGACCGATTTGGAGCGGATTTGCCCTCATCCCCCCTCCTTGACTGATCCTCTCGGGGCCCACCCCGTGCCCACCCCCAAGCCGCCTCCCAGGTCAGAGGGGGCGGGCCTCCTCGGAAGGCTCGGAAGCCCTGCGGGCTTCCGAGACGTTCTCTTCTCTGAGCCTTCTCCAGGGGCACAGAGGACGTCTCGGAAGGCGCGAGGGCTCCTGGGAAGCCCGGGCGCCTGCTCAGAAGGCCTGCCCCCTCTCGCTCCCCACCCGCGCGCGCCGCCGGCTCTCCTGTCGCTCCTCCTGCTCCCTCCCCGTGCTTGATGTCAGGAGGGAAAAAAACACACAGACATAATTAATCTGCGATTCCCAGAAAATATGGGAAAATATGGGAAGTGGGGGGGAAGACAAAAACCCAGAAAATATGGGGAAATATGGGGAATCATTTTATTTGTGTGTATTTATTTGTGTGTCCCAGTTTCCCTTCATGATGGGCGCACCCGCGGCGCATTCCCCCCCCCCACCCACCGGCGCGCCGCCGGGAGGCCGTGGGACGCTCTCTGCCTCAGGGGGGGGGGTCGGCCACGAGGGGCGTGGTGGGTGCCCAGACTTCCGACGGCCCGATGTTCCTCGATTCCGGGACGATCGAAATTCGAGCAGGGGATCGACTAGAGAATTGATTTGACCCCGAATTGTTTGTTTCCGTCGGATGTGCGACAAATGCGCAGAAGGCTCCGCAGATCTATGGAGCGTTCGACGTATGCTCCGTAGGCCCGACTGAAAAATCAATGTCAGGGTGATCCATCATGTAGTCGATCCCCTACCTGAGAAATGGGCACCCATCGGTTGTTGAAAGTAGGTTTTTTTTGATTCCCCAAACCCAATCTACTTCAAGCGCCTTTCTACTTCAAGAACTGATCTGCTTCTGCTGCATTATGTTGCTCTCCGGGCGGGCCCGGACCCAATCTACTCTATCCGCCTTCCGATTTCATGTTTCTACCTGCTTCTTCCGACCGATGGGTGCGGAGAGAACGGGCACAAAGACCGACAGCATGTTTTGTTTATTTTGATCAGGGCTCGCTGTCTGTGTCTCCGCGGGCATGGTGCATTTGAAGCAGAAGGCCGCCTGCCCAACGGCGGCCGCTCGCATCGTCCCGTGTTTGTTCCGCACGCATCTCGGGCGTCCACACATGCCTGTACCGGGAGAAACGCCGAAGTTCAGGCACCACCGCCAGGGAAGGGGTTGGGAGTTCTGGGGCACAGGCCAGAAGCAATCGGCGGCGAGCGAGGGGGGGGAAATGAAAAGGCGGCGGGACTTCTCAGAAGCACCCCGCCTTCTGAGAGGTTTTTTTTGTCTTCGGGGAAGGCTCAGAAAGCGTTCCAGGAGGCTGGGCGACTTCCTCTGTCCGGGAGATGTTCGGCGCCCCTCCGCGTATTGGGTTTTCGCTTGTTTTTTTTGGGGGGGGTCAAAATGCTGCTCCCGCTGCAGCGTTGGCCTCATTTTCGCGCTTCCGCTCGCTCCGAATCGTGCTCCCGCTGCAGCGTTGGCCTCATTTCCGCGCTTCCGCTCGTTCCGAATCGTGCTCCCGCTGCAGCGCTGGCTTCATGATTTCCAGTGCCATACCACGGCATGGTTTGCGGTCCTTCCAAATAGACCCCAAAATCTAGAACATGGTTCCCCGAAGAAATCATCGGAAGTGATAACACATTCGTTGGCGCTTCGTTGATTTTTTGAGGCCGTGGAAGCCCCCCCCAACGTTTGGGCGTCGCCACGCCATGCTATGTCATGCTGCGCGTTGTTCTTCAACACCATGCTATGCCATGTAACGGTATGCCATACTACGACATCCGACTGTGCGAATAAAAAGGAGATCTACGCCATGATAAGACGCGAGCGCACCTAGCTTGTCGCTTCCCCCCCTCGCTCGCAGCCGAAACAATCCCCCTCCTCCCCCTCGTGGCACCTTCATCGGCAGCTCTCGTGCCGCGTCCGGCCGTGGCCCCGGGCTGCGCCCAGCTGTGGCCCCGAGGGCCCTCCTCCCCCCTCCCCCCCGTTCTCTTATTCATTGTTTTGCCGATCTGCGCGGGCCCTCGCACCCCGCCCGCCCCCGCGGAGTAGATCTTGGCTGTGTTTGGCGCCTGTTTCGAGCAGGCGGCGTCCCTCCTGCAGAGGACGCACTGCCGAAGACAGTCGCACTGAGCAGAGGTCTGGAGCCAGCCCCCCCCCCTCCCCCCCTTTCCGCCCAATGTCCAAACGCCGGATTAAGAAACAACTCACCAAGAGGGGGGGCGTCCATGAGAGGGGGGCACGAGGCAATGTCGAGCAAAGGTGGGCTCCTCGCGCCTATTTCCTCGCGCTCGCTGGAGCCGGATGCAGGCCTTCGCGTCGAGTCTTTGTCCAAGTAGGAGGGGCTCCGCAACACAGTAGCACGCAATATGTTGACCGTGTCTGGAAGGGATACCTCTGAGTTGTTTGTAGATTTCCTCAAGGATGTTTTGGATTAGTCGCTGGAGCCCTACGGTGCTGGCCTGAACATTCTGCAACCAGTGCGGGCTGCGGCAGCTATATCATATCACAGGCATTGCGTTGGAGGGGAGAAGAAGAACAATGATAGGGAGAGTGAACCACATTGAATTATGATGTAGGCCCACAAAGGTAGCCCTAATCCAGAGGATGAAGGCGCTCGAGAGGACTGAGCTGCATGATCTTCAAGGCCATTTCGCAGGATGCCCTCATCATTGTAGCACGTGCTTGGAGGGTCGGAGCCTGAGCGAACACAATCCATCCAATCTTGGCCGTCACTTTGGGGACACTGTTCCAGAAAAGGTCGTTGAGAGGGAACTGATGAGTAATGGCTCGCCGCTCGCTTGCATAGAAAGGGCACTCAGCCCACAAATGCCTGACAGAGGGCCAGAGGTGTCCACAGTGGGGACACGGACGGCCCGTCGGTCTTCGCGTCTCTGACGACACAGCTCCTGAGAGGAAACTCCCAAGCCTCACTCTGTCGCCCTCGGACAAAGAGAATCTCTACTTGGAAAAAGTCTTGCACGACAAAACCGCATCCACTTCCTCAATGGACTCGGAGTCGTGCCTGGTACGGGTAATTGCCTGAAGACAACGTATGCGAGCCATAAGCCTGAAAGCGAAGTCCACTCTCTTGGCGTACCTCCGTCCTGCACAAGCGTACCTCTCGTCCCGCCCGAAAAAAAAATCCTGCACAGAACGAGTCCACAAACGAAAGCCCCAGACAGGGCACAGTGACTGAACAGCTCGAGGTACACGGTGATCATCAGTCAGTGAGATCTTCAACAAGCACCCTCGAGCCCCAGAGTATGGGATGAACGTAACGCCCAGCACTGTAGCATGCCTTTGTAGAGAGAAGTCCAAGAACTCACTCCACGTCAACTTTTGATCCGTGATGTTGATGGTGGCCCGCAAGGCCGCCCCCAAGATTGTATTCGTGGGCACCACCATCTACCATGGCACCACCACTTTGTCTTGGTCCGCACGATCGCCGTATGCAGGAGTCGTGCGACTTTGCTTGGTACAGGGGCGACAATCGGCGTCGCCCACAGCCAACGAGGTCTGATGTACGAGATGGCCAGCCTCTCACGGACCAGCGATGAACCAGGAACCGATCCCAAAGTATTGATCGCTGCTCGACAACACAACACTATAGAGAGACAGAGAGAGAAAGAGAGGCACAGAGGGAGAGATACAGAGAGAGAGAGAGGAAGAGAGAGGAGTGGAGCCATGAGCATAGATAGAGGAGGGAGCGACGAGGGGATCACGGTGCAGGCTGTGGCACTCAAACATGCCTTCCAATCTGCGAGGCCGCTCTCTTCTCACGGACGCTCGCTCAACGCGTTCTCTTTAGACCCGCGTGAATTCGTGTGCGCTCTTCACAGGGGGAAGATGAGGGCATGACAATGATGCGTACGATGATTTCCCAGGTTCAGAGATTGCCTAATTGTCCTGGCGGGCTCCACAAACGAGGGTTTCCAGATACTCCAAATTATTGGAACGCCTCTGAGCCAACATGTATCTGACGGCATTCCCGCCCGCCGTCTCCTCGTCCTCCTCCTCTTTCTTCGGGGCGAGCGTATTTCCAAGTCCACTTGCTTTTAACTAACGTGGTCATCCTCCTCACCCTCCTCCTGCTCCTGCTCCTGCTCCTCCTCCTCCTCCTCCTCCTCCTCCTCCTCCTCTTTCTCCGCAGTTCAATAGACGCGTTGTTTGTCAACACTGTGCTACCAGGTGCCCATGTTGCACCTCTTGATAGACTTGCGGTCCATTGCCAGTTTGCCGGTCCCTCGCGGCTCACTGGGGAAAGTCCGATGTCCGACATTTTGAGCCAACCGCCACATGACATTTCGCCATCGTGGGCGACCACCCTTCGGGTGATAAAGAGATTCGTGGGGGAAGAGAGGACAAATTGATGACAATTGCGATGGCGGTGATGATGACGATGTTGGTGGTGCGTCATCGAGTTGGCGACAACGCGTGGTGACGATGCTGCGTCTTGATGTGGTCCCACGATCGATTCCATTCGATCGACCTCACCACCAGGGCACCATGAGGCCAAATAAATGCCATCACTACTGTATTGTGATGGTTGGCGCTCAGTGTAATATTGCTGGCTGCTGACGGCAAGGTGATGGCCGCAGTGGTGACGACTGGCGGCGGCAGCAACGGCGGTAGTGCTGGGCACGATCGGAAACCATCGGGACACATCGGGCCAAATAATGGCCACCATCATTGCGCTGCGTTGGCAATGTGAGAATGCGGCGACACATTCGATCGCGTGGCCAGTGATGGTGTCATTGACAAACGTTTGGGACACCGACAGGACACCGACGGGACACCGACGGGACACCAACGGGACACCGACGGGACACCGGCAGGACACTAATGGGACACCGACGGGACACAGACGGGACACCACAACGGGACAACCCGGCCACCGCCTGCTTACCGCGGGGGAGAGGCGGGCAGCGACGGGACACCACGGCGGGACAACCCGGCCACCGCCCGCCCACCAGGGGAGGGAGGAGGGGCGGTCAACGGCTTTTCACACGCCCTAGCCGCAGCGGGGTCTTTCTTCTCACCCGCCCACGCAGTTTCGCCTCGCACGCACGCACGACACGAACCCGACACCGAACCGATTTCCTGCCGGGGAAGGTTTCCGTTCCACTTCGACCTCGCCCCCCAACCCCCGATCCGCGGTCTCGCGGGCTGCTGGGCCGCGATCTTGCGGACGCGGGGCGTTTTTCAGCGGATGCCCCGCGCGGAACGTGTCCGTGCGACCGCCTTATCCGCGGGATCGCGACCAGAACTCTGGACCGCGAGGCCGCGGATGCGGACGTGTTCGCCGCTCGTGGCCCCAGAGACCCCCGCTCCTTGGCAGGCCCTGGGGGCGCCACGACCGCGGCGGCGCCCCTGCCCCCCCCCCCCCTCCTCTCTGCTCGCCGCGCTCGGAGTGCCCGCTCCCTCGACTCGGCCCACCCTGCCTCGGCCCCCGCCGCCCCCTCCTCCCCCGACGACACCGGTTGCGAGCGGTGGTCGGCTACTCCAGATTTCGTAATAAAGGGAGGGGGGTCTCATTTCGGGGGGGGTCTCTTCCAGGCTATCTTGGAGGGCCTGGGGGGGTCTGGGGACGATGTTTTGGAGGGTTCTCCCACGGGGGGGGGTCTGAAATGGCTTGTCTTGGAGGGTCCAGACCCCCTCCCTTTTATTACGAAATCTGGAGTATGGCATGTGCTGTTCAAACATGGCAGGGGCTAGAAGACAGGCTCATACAGCAGACCGTGGATCCCCAGAGCACGCGCACCGAGAATCGAGGGTTCCGCCCCCCCCCCCCGCGTGCAGGCCCACACGGGCCCCGCCCCAGCGCCACTGCGCGCTCGCCTGGCCTCGCCTCGCCTCGCCCCTTCCCCGGGTCCGGCCTGGTGGGCGGGCCGGACCGGGGGAGGCGGGCAAGCCCCGGCACTCGGGCCGCAGGCGCAGCCAGCCGCAGGCATCGAGCCGCGGGCATCGAGCCGCGCGCCTGCTCCCTCGCCTCGGCCCATCCCAGTTCGGACCCCCGCGCCTCGTCCTTCCCGGGGCTGGCCCGGGCAGCGAGCTGGACCACAGGATGCCGCGAGGCGCTGGAACTCGAGCCGCAGGGAGCCCCGGGCACCGAGGAGAAGCCGCACACGCTCTGCTGCAGGCGGTTCGGATCTCAGTTTGGGTCGGCCCCCCTGCGAGCTGGAGGGTGCCCCTGCGTCCTGCTGCCACTGTTCATGTCCTTGGGTCATGAGGCCCGTGGAGCAGAGCCCGGGGAGGAACACCGCGCCGTCCTTCGGGCGTCGATTCACAGGGGTGCGATAGAAGGGGGGGTGAAAGAGGGTCGACTTGTTGTTCCCTGAAGGGACCCTGAAGGAGCCCCCTGAGGCCCAAAAGGGGAACGAAAGGTGCACGCTTCTCACCCCCAAGCATCAGATTATCCCCCCCCCGCCAAAAAAATAACGCCAGAGGCCTGGGGCGCGCGGCTGGGGCAGGCGGGGGGGGAGGAGGAGGGCACGACCGCACACCGTGCACCAAGGCAGGGCCCAGAGCGAGCTAAAGCTCGGCAGAGCTCTCCGTGCCCGGGGGCCGTGGCTCCGCGCTGGGCCCCGTGAGGGAAGGAGGGGGACGATGGTGATGATGATGATGATGATGATGATGATGATGATGTGATGATGTGATGGTGATGATGATGATGATGATGATGATGATGGTGATGGTGATGGTGATGGTGATGGTGATGATGATGATGATGATGATGATGATGATGATGATGGTGATGGTGATGGTGATGATGTGATGATGTGATGGTGATGATGATGATGATGATGATGATGATACTGATGATACTGATGATACTGATAATGATGATGATGCTGATGATGGTGATGATGATGATGATGATGATAAGGAGAAGGCGGAGCGACACGAGG